TGAAGCAGCTCCACTTGTTATGAAAGTATGTCAAATCGCATTTATTTCAACAAACCTTGTTTATGTAAACATGGCTTTATAACACTGATTTCCTTTTATTATACCATGTGCAGTAATTGTGCACTGTTTATAATTATTATTATTTTTTTTTTACTTCTCAAATTATAGTGGGGTTTCTTTACTGATTACTTTCTGGAAAAAGAAACTTCACAAATTATCCAAAACCTTTGACAAAAATGGGAAAACAGTTTTTTTCTTCTCATTTCTTACAATATATTTATGTAACTATATATTAGGGGTGGGTATCTCTAGGCACCTCATGATTCGATTCAATTACGATTCAGAGGCTGCGATGCGATTATAAACGATTATCTTGATGCATCTTTTATATATATATATATATATATATATATATATATATATATACAGGATTTCTATTTTCCTACTGTCTGAGGACTTGGTAGTTTTAAAGCAAAGTATTTGTAATGATCCATAATGAATTTACTTTCAATATCTTTTATTAATAAATCAACCGGAAGCAATATGCCAGGTTAACTGGAAGGCTCTCATTTCATTGCTGTTTGGAGCACGAGACGCTGCTGCCACTCATCTGCGTTAAAATGCGCCGCTACGGTGAAATAAGATCCTGTGGCAATGGATGTCCACGCAGCAGATTACAGCTATTCTATCCGTTTTTCCTCAGTGATTCTAGCTATAACTGCGGTTTTGGTCTCGTTGTGAAGAGTGTGGGGTGGTCGCTGTGTCAGTAAAATATGTTCGAGACGGGACGCTGTATCTCGGCTCCAACGTGTGCAACATAGCGCGAAAGCCCTCTTTCTCAACGACTGAGAACGGATGCAAATCCTTGCCAATAAAAGTTGCGATAGAGAGTGTGGTTCGCTTCGTCCTTTCCGAGTTTGGTGGAAGTTTTGACATAGCTTACTTGATGGTCCTTTGGTTGGCAGTAACTACAACCGGGCGGAAAATGGGTGGAAACGTAATATGGTTTTCCTCAACTCCATATAAGCCAAAGTGCTTCCTTATTCTGGCTCAAGGGTCGGCAACCTGCGGCTCCCCATCAGAATTAGATTTCTAGGTAAAATAAAATAATCCTCCTCTGCAGTAAAATAAAGCTCTGTTGATCGTTCAAACACAGTTTTAACAATAAATGATATTAAACGCTGAAATGAACGTAGCCTATAACTGCTAGTTCACCTAGCTAGTAGCTAACGAAAAGGCAAGAGAGAGATTGAAGACGAACATCGATAATTTGGAGATGTGATGATGACTACGACCGAGTCACCATCACCAGACACGTTCTGCAAGGCCACACCTCCTCAGAGGAAAAGAGAACTGACAACGGACTTGACATGACGAAGTATAAGGACGTGATTATTCGTTTAAATGTCTCCGTGAAGAGAGTGTACATATCGGAGCGGGCGGCATAAACTTTCACTTTTAAAACACGTGAAATGACAAAATTCAAACATCTAACTTGGTACACACAACACACAAAAGAGGACGATAAAAAAAAACCGTATACTTATCTTCAGACCCCGGGGAAAGAAATTCAAAAGGACACGCGCGCGCTGAGCACCGTCCTATGTGGGGGGGAGTAGAAACCACCCGTTTTCCGCCAGGGGGGAGCGGTTTGGTTTTCCGCAGCTCTCAATACGAAGTGGCAAACGAGCAAGGAGATTATCACCGCTGGGTGGTACAGTCCGATCACGTTTGGCGGGGAGAAGAGTGCATAAAAGCGACAGAGCTTAACTTAGAAGGAGAGGGCTTGCTCGAAGCTGAAAGGAGGTGGACTGAGCGGACCAAGTCTTCCTTAAGTGTCCTGCAGACAAACAACGGCAGCTGTTGTGAGAGGACAAAATCTATAGACTAAAGCCAGAAGTTATCGCCGTCAAGCCCTAAGTCGTGGGGATAAATAACTTGTATTAAGGCTGCATTGAGCCTCATTTATTGTGTAAATTTATTTCAGTTTTTGTTTGCTTTTTTTCTCTTTCGTTTACTCTCATCACTTGTAAATAGTGCACGTAGTTGGTGGGTTCAGAGAACTAATAAAAGGCGTGGCCGTTAAACTGGAACTCCTAGTGTCCTGGCTTCCCTAGCACCTCCCCTTGGGCGCTATGACCACACGCTAAAAGTACCACCGGAGACGAATAGACTTATTTGCATCTATAATCACTCCAGCTGGTTTCCTGATACGTTTAATCTACAACGAGAAACTGTCAAACACTAAACAAACAGGTGAAACTGAAGTCAGTTTCCCATTCCACCTTAAATGGTGCAGCAGTTACATTCTGGCGCCTCAGGCACCATTTAAGGTGGAACGGGAAAATTCGAACGAGAAGCTGGAAAATGAGAACTTCAGCCTCGTAAAAAATACATTGAGAGACGTTTTACAAGAAACTTTTCTACTTTTCTGGTGAAAGGTTTCCAGCTGGTGATGCAAGAAAAGCAGCTGCAGCTGAGCTAAAGCTTTAAGCAGAGCAGAGTGAGTCTGCGTTTTTGTTTGTATTAACATTTTTAGCCTGTACTAGGACATTAGCACGTACAGAGACACGTACAACCAAGATGGTAAATTGGACTCAAAAGGTTGTGGCTCCCAAGGTGGTTTGATTTTTGATGAAAGGACAAAATGACCCTTACTAACATTTAGGTTGTGATCCCTGCACTAGCTTTTAATATAGTGCGCCGCCACAGATTGTCCGTGCGCTGCACTTCCGCACTTTGCAAAGTTGCGCTTTCTTGCGTTCTGTCAATATTACGTTATCAATTAAAATTTAGAAAATCGATTTTTGACATTTGTGCATCGATTCAGAATCGTCCACGTCTGCATCGCGATGCATCTAAGAATCGATTTTCCCCCCACCCCTACTATATATATATATATATAACACTGTAAAATAAATAATAATATATTTATATATTTATATTTATATAATTATGTATGATACCTATGCTGCTGCAGGACAGGCTCGAACTATGTAATTATAACCAATGCTTCACGGGGTTCATTTTAGGACATTCTCAGACGTCAAGAACGGCATCATTCTTCGTACTAAAAGACTTTGAGTCTCGAGAAAAACCATCGTTATGTCTCAGATCTGGTGTAACTGAACATCAGGTGTAACCTCGCCTAGTGTTAATTAACATATATTTACATGTTGGTCAACATGAAAACGAACAAGCAAAGGTGGAAGTGAAAAGTAAATCACCAGCAGGTGGCGCCTGTGTTCATTTCCGTTTGCCTTTTTATTCTGACACAGCGCGTCCACACCGAAAACTGAATCGCAAACTATCACTTCGCTGTTAATTTATCCGTTTTACATTTTTATGTTGTCAGATATGCAGACTATTGCTATGAAAAAGAAATAACAATGTAAAAATTGCATTTTTAATTTTAGTTTTGACCCGTATTTTGCATTTCATGAAGAAAAGGCAACGCCAAAGTGAAGCTTGGATTTTCTTTTCTCTATTAGCTTTTCCCTGTGATGGACTGGTGACCTGTCCAGGGTGTATCCTGCCTTCTGCCCAATGACAGCTGGGATAGGCTACAGCACCCCCGCGACCCACAAGGATAAGCACTTTAGAAAGTGTGTGTGTGTATTAGCTTTTCCATTTTAGATATGACCATGAAATACCACAATAATGACTAAAATGAAATATAAATAGCTGTTGTACATTTATTTTTATTTTTGTCACAAATGACTCGTGCTTATGTGAAAAATGAAACTGCAAATGTAGGTATTTCAGTTAATTTTTGAATTTGGCAGGATATTCGCATAGATGCTTGGAAAAAGAAATAGCAAACAGAGGTTTGCATGTGTGTGCAATTGTATGCCTTTGTCAGCAACAGGTGGGAGAAGTCACCGATTGGAAGGGGTGTCGATACGTCTGGACAGTGCATGCCAATGGAGTTTAGACAAAAGACTGTATTTTGGCGAGCAGTAGAGATTTTAGAGAGAGAGGGAGTCTCTGCATTATTCATTGTAAACTGAATTTGGGTCATGGGCTTAGCAGTGTAGCAGACATAAGAAATTGTCTGGAAACAGACAAAACTCAGTGTTGGTGACACAGAACCTCAAATCTAAATTCTGTCATACATTCTGAGATATTGCACTCTTAATTGGATGAATATATCCTGACATTTTCATTTTTCTCTCGGTGATTTATTCATCCAGTGTTGTCTGTTCTTGTGCCTATTTTTCAAAACTAGAGACAATAAAAGGGCAGATTCTTAAATTTATTCAAGCACTTCTACCCAGATTGTTTAATCAAATAAAGCAAGCAGACCACAAAACTACACATCTGCACTCGGTAACAGCCACAGGCAGGTAACAAGGAACAAGAAGGCTGGTGGCACTCAGTGGTAAAACACCCCAGATCTCTCAGGCATCTCTCATACAGTTGATCCTAATATTAACAGTAGTACTTCAACCTTCCTCTCTTCGCTTGGTGACTTTCAGCTGGCCATGGCATTTATTGATCTAAATAGCTCAAGGGTTGGAATTCTACTTACAATAATACAGAATACAGAATTCGTCTTTGACATTCATGGTCTGAGAAAGAAATGGCAGGAACACAACTCAATACTTTCAGTGCCTCTTTTGCATTGCCCTCTACTGGTTACTGCCGAAACTGCAGTTTTTGCAATTTCCACAAACATGAAAAAAGTTTTGGCAGTTCTGATCAAATCACATTTTGGACTTGTACTCTTACTTAATTTCCAACAGAAAAAACCCACACATTTTCACTTTCACGTTTTCATTTAGACCTTCACAGAACTCAAAGGACATATGTTTTTTCTTTTACAATTTTTCACTTTTTCTGATCAGTCGAGTTTCATGTAACTTTTACCAAAGCTATGTTATAATATCTCTGTTCGTTGTCACTGTTGATATTACAGAAAAATCTCAGCGTAAAACATGAACATTAAAACAATTGAGATTACTTTTACACAAGAGGAAATATCACACATTACAGCATGATGACTTTAACAAACTCTGTTTAATTGTTCGGCATAAATACTTTTGGAGTGGATGTAAAAAAATACATTGATTATTAACAAACTGGGTTCCATAAAAAGCAAAAATTCCAATTAAAAAGTAAAAGTAAAAAGCCTTCATCTTCACTGTCGTAAGTCCAACAGAAATGTACAGCAATTTTGTAAATAGTGCTATATCATCAACTTCTTACAGGGCATTTTAATAAAGACAATTCCAGCCAAGCATATATAGACACACCTCAGTGTGATTAAAAGTGATGTTTTCACAGACCTGGACACCAAAAACATGAACAGACAAGACCAAACAAGAGAACAGGAGAAGTCTTTTTCTGAAGTGTTCTCAGATAAATTTACTTAAAATAACTGCCTAGTAAAAGCACTGAGGTTGCATTTTTGTGCAAATGCAAGAGAAAACAGCTCACACAGTCAGACATGTATAACTCCTGAATATGTTTAGATGAATTTCTGTCCAACATTCCTGCTTATGTTCCAAAGTTGTTAGAGTGAATTTAAAAAAAGAACAAATTAGAGACACTAAGAGAGAGGAACAAGTAGCTGAAAGCAGTTTTCTCTGCAAAAGACTCCATGGCTCTGTTCATGTTTAGTACAGAGTTGCTTTCACTTTCCTCCCGGGGTTAAGCAAATACTGAAATCTGCAGCAGTCATGTTTTAAGCAGGACACTTTCATCTGCAGAACTATAATTTAGCTCAATAAATTCTTGTTAGACTAAACTCAGTAAAGGTGTATGTGTTTTTTCCACTCTATTTGACCAGGGCTATAGTCCTAATCACCACCTTATGTTTTTCAGCTTCTGAAAAGCATAGCCTATCACAATGACTTAAAATAGAAAACAGCAATAAAGTCAATCGATTTTTTTAAAACAATGACCATCTTAAGTAAGCCAATCTATCTTCAAATATTCCATTAAATAATCCATAAGTCTGAGGGAAGGGGTCTTTGGAGGGGTTACTGTGGTCATGATTAATTTATATGCTACACCACAGTGGAGTCAAAATGTTTAAGACGGATAAAGTAAACCCTACTTTTTTTGTGGCAACTGAAGACTGTAACTGGTCAGACACTAGTTCTGGCAATTTCCCATCAATACCTTGCTATGCTTAAAATATAATGCATTAAATTTATACTATTAATACAATGAAAAATATTAACAGAATCTATTAATGTGGGAAGGATGTACATTTTTTTTCCATGTGTTTTATTTATTTTTTTATTTTACCTTTATTTAACCAGGGTAGTCACACTGAGATGAAAAATCTCATGTGCTCAATATATCGTGCTCACAGAATGTCTGTGCCCTTCAGTGTCATCTGACCCCACCCATAGGAAACCTTTCCCACCCTGGCATTATCATACAGCTCCCTCTGGAAACCTGCCAGGAGCGTTTGCAAACATGGACACCCCAATTAAGTGCTCTACTACATGCAGTTTCTAATCATTTAAATGACCTGAACATATTGAGACCACCCTGACATGACAATTTTCAGGATATATCGCAAGACTGGCTTTGCATAGCTTTCAGTACATTTATGGTTAAGGAGGACCGTATCACAGTCTACACTTCCCTTACAATAAGTGCTCCTGAATGGAAACACATGGAAAAACTAAAAACCTGAAAAAAAAAAACATACATAATACAAAGCACACAGAGCAATTACAGCAACAAAACAAAACAAAAAATCATTCCAACTAACACAAGTTTCTAACACAAACACAAAATAATCTATCTTGCACAGGGAATAAAACTGAAATGAAAAGCAAGAGGGTAATAATACATGGACTGTTATAACTATTTGTTTTATTGTGGCAAAATGCTCTGCCAAAGTAGGGAGTGTATTTGCTTGTTTGTTTGTGTGTCTATGTGTGTGTGTTGTGTGTGTGGTCTTTACTCTCAGTACTTGGGTACTTTGGTGTAGACCTCCTGATGGACACTCTTGCATAAGCACATGGACAGCACCATTCCCAGTAGCTGGAAAAAGAACAGAGCTGTGAGTAGTCCCTTTCTCTGCCCCTTACACATACACAGTCGAGTCACATTATTATGACCACTTCATGTCCACCAGTTGGTGATGGCAGCATTATGGACTGGGGAATGTTTTCTTGGCCCACTCATCCATATGGCACAAGGCACTCTCAACTGATTTGGGTATAAATCCATCCTTGCAGATCGGGTACACCCATACATGCTCATTGTCTTCCCTGGGGCAGATGAGATCTTCCAGCAAGACAATGCGACGTGTCACACAGCTAGAAATGTCCAACATTGGTTAGAAGAGCACGACCTTCCAAGTACTACCCTGGCCCCCTAATTCCCCAGACTTGAACCCAATTGAGCATTGTGGGACCACCTTGATTGTCGTTTTCGCTCTATGGATCCTCCCCCACACACCCTCCAGCAGCTGTGGGATGCACTGCAGTCAGCATGGCTCCAGATACCTGTCACAACCTACCCGGACCTTATTAAGTCACTCCCAGCCCGTCCCAGCTGTCTGTGCTGCACGCGGTGGTTACTCTGGATATTAGCTGGTGGTCATAATAATGAGACTCGACTGTGTACATGCAGTATTTCTTTATCAAAATAAACAGAGGTATGTTACCTTTCAAAATTTTGGAATCACCATTCAAAACTTCGAAATCACTTTTCATTCATATAAAATCAATTTGTTAAACATCTAAAATTTTACTATGAAGATATGATACTACTCTGAATCTTAACAGGTTTCAATCATTTGTAGGAATCCAAAATGGTTTTAGAATGCAGGCTGAATAGGCAGGTTTTGTCATTTAAGCTGAGGAATGTTTTTGAATTGTACACATGAGGGCGCAACAGGGAGTGCACAGCTAGAACTAAGTGTTTGGGAGCATTTTTCAAAAGCATGATAGCTACTACAACAATATATCACACAAATGACAAGATGGAAAAACGTTTCGTCCATGTTCTCACAAAAGTGTGATGCATGAGGGTGTGAATAAATCACATGTGGGTGTGTAAAACTATAGCAAAGTGTGTTATCAATGGCCAGTGCTTTCCAGAGATTGTGAGATACAACGAGCATGGCTTCATACCTGCCTAAAATTTCAGAACTGGAAGTATCCTTTTTAGAACTGATGTAATGATTAATTGCATGACTAATGATGATTATCGGTCAAAAGTATTTGCCCAATTTTGCATTCCTAGATTCTATAATAATTGAGAAAGCCGGCAGAGCATCAATAATGTAGTTAAATAAAACATCCAAAATACCTCAGCTTAGAAGATTGGTGATTAAATCTTAAGGCACATAATTGATCAAGAAACTACGATAAACAGATAATTGCAGTATATATACAGTGGATGTTCATTTAAGCACCTCAGTATTGCCCAAAATAGTGTCTAGTGCATAATACAATCATCTTATAATATGAACAACACAATTACTAACATAGCAAATGATTCCAATTTTTTACTGGTAGTGTGTATATAGAAATATGTGATGCACATTTGCAAGCACTGCAAATTAGAGTCATGCTGAATTAAATATGCACACAAAAGCACTTAAGAAGGTGATGCTGAGTTGGCTTTACATGTAACTTTTGTGAAACATGATCAAGCTACTCGTGCTAGCATTTGTTCAGTGTTTTTAGGCTGCTACACGATGATCCTAGCAATGTTATTGATTTTCTCCTTTCTTGACAAGATGCTAATAGGCTAAATAACTACGACAGATGAGAGTATATAGCAAAAACAATACAAATATTGCTAATTTGTAGAGTAATCAAATGAGTTGTACAGAACTTTCATTATTTTTGATGTGCTTTGTGTAAATGGAAGATTTAGCGAGTTCTGCCAGGAAGACTCGAATGCTGCATCATTACATTTGACCAAGCGCTGGCCTACACCTGTCTTTAAAACGACTCAATTTATAAAACTATTGTGCTGCTTTTAGGTGCCAATGTTACAACGTTCCCTCCTTCCTCCCCACCACCACCAGTTGTCCGGGGGTAGTCTCCACCTCTGCCATCTTGATCCGACAGGATCTGTGAGGGTCTTGACTCTCCAAGACCTGGACCGAAGACGGGGCCTACACCAAAGACGGTTTAGTTTATACTGAATTGTTATGTCAACTTGTAAAATCCCTTCGAGAATTAAAACTGTCTCCTGCCTCCCGAGTCTTCCTGGTAGAATTGCTGAGTTGCACAGAAATTATGATACAGGCAACTTGTAACCGGCTGCCTACACAAGAGCTCTTTAGATGTACCTCAATCACTGCCACTCCAATGCAGACTCCCAAAATAACACCACAGTTACTCAGGAGCCAGTCCTCCACACTGGATATGCAACCCTACACACAAAACATGAAGACAGTAAGAAGGAAGCACAAATAAGAGCAATATGAACAAAGAGAAATGGAGATGATCCTGAATGGGCAAAATGCAAGTCTTGCCAGAAACACCTGTTCTTTAGGAATACTCAAACTAAACAGAAAAGACCACAGAAAAGGAAAAGTTCCTGGAAAACACTCAGTGGCACAGCTTAAATCAGCTGTAGATTCTGGGTAAAACAAGGCTTGTTTAAACAGCATGTTCGCCTGGCAAACAATTAGCTCAGGAAAGGGCATGACGGTCAAAGACGGCTAAGCAGCATCTAATTATTACTTTTGTATGGCTGCCACTGATGTGAATGTAAGCAGGGAGTATGTATACTAGAGCTGCACTATATATTTTGCTTTTTAGTAGGAACGAAGACATTAGCCTCTGTCTAGCCAAAAATGACATGGCCTTGGCCCTGTACCTCAGCAGCATGAGTAAAATTAGTAAAATGTTGATTTAAACATTTAGTAGCATGTTTTTTTTTTGTGGATTTTTACTTAATTAGTCATTACCAGTTCCTATCGCTAGTATGGTCTCCTGAATCACACAAAGCTACCAAACTAGGAGGATGAAGGTTAGCATGTGCTTCCTCTGTGGGTTAGCATATGCTTCCTCCTTGTGGCATCACCAGGGATCAAATTCACAAGCTCCTGATGACAGGATTGACACTTCTAGATTTTAACCCTGATTTCTCCCTTTCCCAACAAATATTCACAATCTGAAGTGGCTTCCATGTCAGGAGCTTGGCTGGCAGCAACTGACAATGTAGATGACCTGGTAGTGTGAGAAGGGAAACAAGTCGATCTTTAGCCTGCCAATCTAACGCAGGTGCACCACATGGAAGCCCCATAAAATGTTCGGTTGAGATGATACAAAGTATTCACCATGGGTATATTAACATACTGGAAGGTATACTGTAACTGTAGCATCTAGCAATATAATTGCAGTATGGAATTTCTTCCAGATCATGCAGGTCTAGTGTGTACCTTAGTGTAGACAGGCCAATCGTGAACCAGACTCTGACACAGGCCTGTCTCCTGAACCTCTGTCCCAGGAATGGATGCATTCCTACAGGAGCATGGATACAGTATCTGTGTGCTGTTCCTTATCCACACATTCTCAGTCCAGTTAGATGGTCCAGTCCAACCACAGCACTGAATCTGAAGAGACATAGAGACAGTCAGACAGACAGACAAAGCGAGCAAGAATTATATTAATTATATTATATTAAGAATTATATGTGAAGGAAGGAGAACATAAATTTCACACATGGTAAACCTGCAGACTGAAAAAGTTAAAAAAATCTTACACTGTTTCAATGTGTTCAGCGTACATGCTGAATTAATAAATTAGCAAATCGAAATGTACGGGCTATAATAAAGGCCATCATGTATTAGGCATGCTGCAGATTTTCAGTATTTAAAAAAAATGAAAGAAAAAAATATGAAAAACCTAGGTTCATCCAGAATCAGAGACAATTGCTGGGGAAAAGGTCAGAAAAGGCTTACCGTTCTCTGCAGGTAATCCCATGCATGCTCGGATGTCTTGTTCTGACCTGTATAATTCACCAGAATTTTGTTCACAATGCTGGATATCTCATGCTTCAGCTGAGAGAAAGGAGAAAAACAGATGAATAAGCAGATAATACTGCTGTAGCCATAATGCAGAGTCTTTAACTACCACATAACAGCCTGATACCTACTGTAAAAGCCAAAATGATTATTATGTTTTGGAGAATTATTCCTGTGAATTCATTACATAACCTTACCCTGTTATGCTCAAATACAGTTTGCAAGGCAAAAAAAAGGTTCCAACAACTTAAACCTTTTGGGAAAACAACTTAATGACATAACCATGCATTTCATGGGAGCGATGAGGTAGAGTAAGAAAAGGAAAACGAACAGCTGGGCGTCCGTGCCGAGAGGAATGAAACCTCACCCTGTTCTTAAAAAAAGCACTGCCACCCTGCCCTGTGGTGAACCATAAATTGAGAAAAACAGAGCATGCCCAGGCAAAGGCCTGAGCTCCCTCCTCTATAAGACTGGTCATACAGGTAGTTTGTTTTGGAGGAGAATCATAACTTCTATAGCTTGTATTATTGCTCACAATTATCAGCATAATGGATTGGACCCTTCTTTCAGGATTGACATTTTCAAACTTTTTATTAAAGGCTGTGCAGGCCAAACTGAAACTGCTTTTTTCCCCACCCTTTTCCCTAACTCCATCTCTCTGTTAATGCCTATTGGAACCACAGGCAGGCACCAAAGGCAACAGTAAATACTAAAAGGTTAATAATATAAAGATTAAAATCATAATTAAAAACCACAACTTAATTGTACAGGTACTTGTGGACACTGTCAGGAAAGTCTGCAATGAATAGTCAGGATTTTCCCCTTGATCCGTGTTAAAAGAACACATTCAAGCAATGGGAAATTCATAGTTCTGTCCTGCACCCCAGAGAAGCGCTAACATAAGTGTTATGTTAATGAATAAAAGGTGTAGGTGGGTATGAAATAGGGGAGAATGTGCAAATTTTGATGCCCTGGAGCTGTAAGTCCAGGCGAGGATACCTATGTAAACCACATGATGGACCATTCTTATTCACCAAGCATTAATGGTGAGGAGTTCAGATAGTGTGTGTAATTACAGTTAGTATACACTCCCTCAACTACAACACTACTGCACCTTATCCCACTTACCAAAACCCCCCTAGAACAGATCAATATAGAGTTACTGTGGTCAATTAAACCACAATAAACAGCATATATAATGACTGACAACAGCAACCATTTGCACCATTTTGCATCAGTTTGAACCAGTTTGAAAAATGTGTAACTGAGCAGACAATATTACGACAATACTGTATCTGGAGTCTTATGTGCTTCACCAGCAGCTAACAGTGCGCTGATATCCAACTTTGTAATCCTTAAATTTTAAGGTCATCTATAAGCAAATGGCGGCTTTAGTCAAGGTAAAGACTTCCTTAAGAGTGCAGGCACAACACTATGGCCCTGTGTACATTTTGCATTAAAATGCCACCCCTTTCTGGATGTTATCCATATGTATTTGAAGAGTATCTGTGTGCGTGTAAACATTGTAATCAGACTGTGTTCAGCATGGCTACGTTCACAGTCTAACATCACAAGCACATATGAGCAAAATGTTTTGGCGGGGGGGGAATACAGTATAAAAGCCTGTCTGTTAGAATTGCTGTCAGACAGGGCTACTCCAGACTGATGGACAGCATGCTCTTGAATGAAGACCTCATCAACATCTCAAGTCTCCTGGCTCTCATCCTTGGCTATATATATTGGCCTATATATTCAAAGACAAGTTTAAACGCATGGTGAACTGAGAAAAGGGCAAGTCTAAACACCCTGCTGTAATCACAAATGCTTCACATGACATACCGCGTCTCATACAACAACTACAAAAGGTATGGGTTAATTTGTAAATGACTCTGGAACACAGAGTAGTGATAGATATGGCAGCTTTTCCCTGGAGGGAGAAACAGGTACATCAGACATGCATGCATGTTGGATCTTATAACTAAAGTGGCTCTTCAGTATTGAACATTCTCTCATATATGGGTTTCCCAAAACTAAACAAGAAGTAGTTAATAAATCTATGCCACAAGAAAGTGGTTTTACTAAGCTCTTTTGAGGGATGAACAGTCACAACGGTAGCGGGTGCCTTTGCAATTGATAAACAGAGATGGTGTTTTTATTACTGTTTCTGTCACTGCGCGCCTCCACAGGAGATGAGCGTGAATGTGTTTGCATGCCGTGGCATGAGGTAAAACAGTTTTCGAGCTTAAATTATTTGTCTGACTGCTCACGTCAGGTTTAGTCACGTTCAGAGGTCAAATATCTGTAGGGCTTAAGTTAGGCTCAAAATTTCACCTTTAGGTTCTCAGAGCCTGCATCTAACTATTTTATCCTGCTTTTCTCCTGCTTTATTTTTTCTCCACGCTTTATTCCGCTTCCCAAATTTCATTACCTTAAAACAGTTTTTTATCTGGCTTCAATGCTGGAGTCACACAGGCTTGTGAGAAAATAAATGTGCGAGATATAAACCAGCAAACTGATTTAGTAATTTTGCTGATTATTTTTAATACAGTATATAATGGTACATCATTTTTAAATTGATTTGATCATGACAACAGCTATAACTGATGCTACAAAGTAATTTAAACCATGCTGTTATTAGAAATATAGGTTTTTATTCAGCACTTTTGGTGATCACCGGCTGATTAGAGTCAGTTTCAAACAAAATTTTGTTGAACTCAGGTTAATTTCAGGTTGTTGTTTGGATCGAGTTTGATTTGGGTTTGGACTCAATATTTGGTGCTGTGGGTGGGGTCAGATCAGACTGGTTTGAACCAAAATTTCAGGTCTAATTAAGGGATCTACAAAGACTGCTACCTTTTTAGTTAATTTTATGCTTATGTGAATTTATGCTTATACCTTGTCACATGTATTTAATATGCAAACGAGGTGACAGATCCACTAAAATCAGTGCCATATCCAGTCGTGGAGGTGCCAGATTCAGATCCAATTTGTTTTGGCACAAATAACACCCTGGTCTTATTCAAATATAGCAACACATAACTGATCATTTAACTTTAAAAATACAGACACACACTCATTTATAGTTGCTAGAAAAAACGGTGGCATCATCTCCTCCACCTGCAACTAACCACTTCCCCCATGTCTAAACCTCAGTTTCTACCCTAACACATTCTGCACCCATCTGTTGAATCACTCACACTTACTGAACGGGCAGCATGTTGTGTTAAAGGCCTGGGATTTAGAGATTAAGTATATTGAGGCTTAGGGAAAAGGGCTGTTAACGAGTTTGCAGAAGTGCAGAAGAAATAGCTTGGTTGAACATGTCAGTCCACAGTCAGAAACAGTCAGTTAAAACGTCACATAATACATGTGAAATCATCACTTCTTAGCTTGCAATATTTATCTGCTCTTGAAGAGACAACTCAGAATAATGGCTCTTTCAGTCTCTACCCAGTCTAGCAGATTATGTCAATAATACTTACCAAGTCTCGCTGGAAGTAAATGAGCACAGCTGCTGTCACCTGGGCAATGAGGATCAGCAGGAGACAGGTGAAGTACTGTGAAATAAGGAAAGTCACACATGACATACGTTTCAATTAAGCATTCATCTTGTAGCTCATTTACAGCTTTGCATTTGACTCTTCTGCATGCTTGACATAATCATAACTACTTTAAAATGTTTATGCCTCCTTGACAGGGGAGCTTATCAATACAAAGCTGTGTTATCCCACACTTTATATACAGAGGGAACGACAGCTGGTCAACCAGTGCAAAGGCACTTATCAACTCCAAAGCTTATTTAACCCTCTAGAAGGTATGAGTTCCCCTCATGAAGCCCCTCTAAACCTCCCTGGCTTATCCCTGTCACCCCAGCTCAGCAAATCCACTTGCATCCTCAAAAACCCATTTCACACAACCTCTTTATCATGGTAACGGCACGGGGCTTTTATGAATGTCCCCCCAGCATCTATTCATTTCTGTTTTTGGATAGACTTTCTTCATGTTACCATCCTTGATATGATGACAAGCATAAATGTTTTACAGCAGAATTGTAAGCTTTTGGATCCAACTCAAACAAATTGTGATCATATTTGCAAATTTAACAGTCATGTGATGTCTTCTGCAAAGTTCAGTTCCTGTTAGGTTATAAAAGAAGCATTTCATCCAATTTTTTGTCTGAGTTGTCTGTCCGTAGTATTAGAGAGAAAATCATGTTAAATTTTTACCAAGACAGAATATGCTAATTTGCCAGGTTTGATTTTATAATTAATATTGAGTAAAAAAACATTAATTTGGGTCATTTGTTTCAGAAACTACATCCACTTGTCACATAAATGAAAATAAACTAATTTTAATCAACTTTTAAGCAACTTCATATTCTTCGCAACCTCACCAGTCCTAGTAGACAACGGATCTCGTAGATGGCCCCAATGCAACCAAGGAAGCCCATGAGCATGGAAAGAGAGCCCACGCCAATCAAGATGTAGGAGCCCACCTTCAGCGTGGTGGAAGATTCCTCTGCACACGCATGCAACAGAAAGACAACAGACAGATGTTAGCTTTGCGGGCGCACATCACACTTCCCACACCCGCCCACCTATCCACACACACAAAACAATCTTCCATATTACAAACCAAATACTAAGTACAGAAAGCTGGTTAGAAAGCTATTTTTTCAGCACACAAGTACCTTTTTTAAATGGCTATACTATATTATTTAGTTATATTCTTTTAGTAATATTGGCTATAGTCAATTCTTTCAATTATTATTCGCGTTTCAGCTTTGTGGGTGAGAAACTGGTTTGCTGACTTCCTTTTCTCGTTAAAGGCAGCAATCTGAGCAGAAGCCTATTTCAAATGCTGACAGAGTGATTTAATCTTTGGCTTTTACAGCATGTGAAGACTGTGCATTAGACCCACATAACCTCCAAAAAAAGCATGTTAACAATACGTAGAGGAAAGTTCTGGAACCAGATAAAGAAGACTATCAATGGGTGCAGAAGAAGGGAGGGCATGGTGCATTATTACAGTAGTACTCAGCTTTTTGCTTAGTTATCTTATTCTTATTAGTCTTATTCTCCAGTGGTATACAGACTTGCCAGTTTATTAGGTATACCCTGTCCCACCTTTCAATGGCTATATTATCAGGCACTCTTACCATATAAGTGCATTTTGTAGATATATAATTACTGATTGTAACCCGTCTGTTTCTATGCACAATTTGTCAGCCTCTGCCCCACTCATCCAAGGACAGGGACCATCACAGGACCACCTGCTGACTAGATATTACTTTTGGTGGTAGCCAGCATTAGGCAGAACACACAGTCCTGAATGTATTCAGCAATGTTTTCCATTACAATACATAAAAGGTCTTCTGTTGATATGTTTCACGAAAAAAATGCTTAGACCCGGAAACATAGTTACACAATTTTTCACTTAATAAAATTAATAAATAAATATTTTCTACAAACAATTCACAATATCCAAGTGACCAAAACTTGCAAATTTGATTATAAAGTGGGTAGGGTGATTTTTATATAATGAACATGGATGCTAAACTTATTATTTGTGAACACATCCACTACTGAGGAAACAGAGCAGTAGAGCAGTAATTCTGAGATAAATATTTAATGTTTAATGATAAATATTTAATATTTAATGCTTTAGCAGGAACTTCAGAGTTCGTAAAGACGCCATTGGTTGAGCATGAATGTCACACACAATGCGCTGATTTTAAAATGAATAAATCAATAAATACATTAATGGTGTTTCTTTTGAAGATGGTATATTCTGCTTTTGTTATTCAGTAAGTATTCTAAAAGTATTCTCCTAATTTTGAATATTCAGAATTGTACCCATGGACTGAATACAGATATTCAGTTTCTGAATTTTGAATACTTGTAATTTGTATATCTTAACCCCGGAGGTGGACCAATTTCAGCACTGCAATGACACTGACACGGTAGGTAAGTTAGTGAACACTAATTTTATATTACAGCAGTTAAACCCAATTCAGTGAAATCCAGCATTTGCTCATGTTTTGTAACATGTCCCACAGACCAAAGCTCATTAATTAAAGGAAAACTGCAGAACTTCTATGATGTACTTTTTTCACTCTGCTTATGAAATAGCAGAGTAACCTATAAAGTGTGGCTCCATTCAGCCTCATAGAAGATGTCCGTCTCTGTTTCAGAATTTAACCTACAGAGCATACCCAACCAATGCTATGTATAGCGCAGTACAAATCTGACGTTCTGTGATAATTAAAGGAAAGACTGGGGCTCAAAAGAGTAGAGAGCAGGGTCTGTAGGCTGGGTGTATATGACCTTTGAGGTTATAATTTAAATGAGAAATGAGGAGCTGTCTCTCAGTAGCTCCTGGTTCTGTGTTCTAATGTTGGTAAAACTCTCGAGCAGAGAGTGTGAAGAGCAAAGAGAATGCTTTCATCCTCCAGCTACACATGCGCATTTAGTGGCTGTGACAGCCCACCACAAACAGATGTTCAACTTCATCGGTGGGGCGGAGCAGCAGAAGTGTGTCTCTGTAACCACATCATCTGTAAACCTGTATAAACATTTAGCCCTTACCGCATGCCTGTTAAAAGTCAGTAAAATGATGAAATAAAGCTGCTTACGTGTAAACGTACATTTGATCCATACTGTCTTGCTCAAGTTCATTTGTTTGGCTAATTTTCACTTAGTCTAATACTTGACTTAAGGCACAGTGTATGAAAAGAATATGCCCAAAACTGGAGAGTAGATGTATGATTAGCCATAATAATGGTGCACTAATGCTATTTGTGAGGTTTGTCTTACTCAAGTGAGGCTTATTGGAACACTGGGCTGCATTGTGGTATCTAAAAGAGCCATACATATTAGGCTGAACGTCTTACAAATAGCATTTCCAAGGTTTTCAACAGATACAGTGGTGTGAAAAAGTGTTTGCCCCCCTTCCTGATTTCTTATTCTTTTGCATGTTTGTCACACTTAAATGTTTAAGATCACCAAACAAATTTAAATATTAGACAAAGAAAACACAAGTAAACACAAAATGCAGTTTATAAATGAAGGTCTTTATTGTTAAGGGAAAAAGAAATCCAAACCTACAGGGCCCTGTGTGAAAAAGTGATTGCCCCCCCATTAAAACATAAATTAACTGTGGTTTATCACATCTTTGGAAAGCTGAGTTCAATTTCCCTAGCCACACCAAGGCCTGATTACTGCCACACCTGTTCTCAATCAAGAAATCTCTTACATAGGACCTGTCTGACAAAGTGAAGTAGACCAAAAGATCCTCAAAAGCTAGGATATCATGCTGCGATCCAAAGAAATTCAGGAACAAATGAGAAACAAAGTAATTGAGATATATCAGTCTGGAAAAGGTTATAAAGCCATTTCTAAAGCTTTGTGACTCCAGTGAACCACAGTGAGAGCCATTATCCACAAATGGCAAAAACATGGAACAGTGGTGAACCTTCCCAGGAGTGGCCGGCCGACCAAAATTACCCCAAGAGCGCCTCGACGACTCATCCAAGAGGTCACAAAAGACCCCACAACAACATCCAAAGAACTGCAGGCCTCACTTGCCTCAGTTAAGGTCAGTGTTCATGACTCCACCATAAGAAAGAGACTGGGCAAAAATGGCCTGCATGGCAGAGTTCCAAGACGAAAACCACTGCTGAGCAAAAAGAACATAAAGGCTTGTCTCAGTTTTGCCAGAAAACATCTTGATGATCCCCAAGGCTTTTAAGAGAATACTCTGTGGACTGACGAGACAAAAGTTGAACTTTCTGGAAGGTGTATGTCCCATTACATCTGGTGTAGAAGTAACACAGCATTTCAGATGGTGGTAGTGTGATGGTCTGGGGCTGTTTTGCTGCTTCAGGACCTGGAAGACTTGCTGTGGTAAATGGAACCATGAATTCTGCTGTCTACCAAAAAGTCCTGAAGAAGAATGTCCGGCCATCTGTTCGTGACCTCAAGCTGGACCGCACTTGGGTTCTGCAGCAGGACAATGATCCAAAACACACCAGCAAGTCCACCTCTGAATGGCTTAAGAACAACAAAATTAAGGCTTTGGAGTGGCGTAGTCAAAGTTCTGACCTGAATCCGATTGAGATGCTGTGGCATGACATTAAAAAAAAAAAATCCTCCACAGCTCTGTAAAAAACTCATTGCCAGTTATCACAAACGCTTGATTGCAGTTGTTGCTGCTAAGGGTGACCCAACCAGTTATTAGGTTTAGGGGGCAATCACTTTTTCACACAGGGCCCTGTAGGTTTGGGCTTCTTTTTCCTTTAATAGTAAAGATCTTCATTTATAAACTGCATTTTGTGTTTACTTGTGTTATCTTTGTCTAATATTTACATTTGTTTGGTGATCTGAAACATTTAAGTGTGACAAACATGCAAAAGAATAAGAAATCAGGAAGGGGGCAAACACTTTTTCACACCACTGTATATCAACAGGACAAAGACTTTTAGCAAACTTATTTTACCACTGCCTACCCAACATTTTCAACATTAAACTGTTGAGAATGAAATGGGGGTGATGTTTTTTCAGCTAACTACCAACAGGAAATACCAATATATTCATTTTTAATATGGCATTTAGATGACATTGCTAAAGAATTTATGAGTGTAACATGGGGGGAAAAATACCCTACATAAGGAACGAGCAAATCAAATGAGAGCTTCATGTGCCTCTTACCAATTTCTGGCCTAGACTCAAAATACTCTCATGAATAAGACAAATAATGCTTAGAGCTCACTGCCATCTGCTATCCTGCAGAAAAGCCATTCACCAAAAGAGTGTCACTAAGCTTGACAGCTTTGGCTTGTATTTCAAGACCAAGAGTGACCTGCCCTGGCCTTTATTCCTAACTATAACCTTGACCTAACCTCTCTACATAGTTTATAATGTTTTACTGTACAATATCACTGGATGACTTGAAAGGCACTTAAAAATAAAATTTTATTATTGGATCATTATAGTCTGTACTCTTATCAAACCTCAGATGTCTTTTAAAACAATCATCCAGTGGTCTCCACCAGTGTACTGTAAGTCAATGTTGGTCACTAATTTTATTAATACTAATACTATTAATATATTTATTAATATACACACATTTACTACACTGATGAGAACAATATTGCCATGTAAGTTTCAGTGCTGTTTTTCCTGAAAAATATTCTTTTAAAGTCTGCTTTTATTTTTTGGAAATATCTAGCAGCAATGTGTTTGTCTTTCCCAGGAATGAAAAGCGCCTGTGAGAAAATGTTCTGAAGGGCCCCTTTTATCATGACTGTTTTAGAAAGCTATTGTTTTTAGTATCCAACTGTCCCTCTAGAGATAGCAGAGACTCTGGCTCTTGCTCAACTTCAGTACCATGAGGATATCCTCATACTTGGGGTGGCCTTGCTCCGACCCCATGTCTCTGGGCAGGGTCCTCTGTTCTACCACTACAGGGGCTGGACCCTGCTACGCTTCGCCCCTGTAGTGCTGTATGTGGAGGCCTGTCTGTTTATTGACTTAAGCGGTCTTCGCTCTGAGCTTCCATTAAGTTCGGCCAAAAACAGGATCTCTGTGTGTTCTCAGTTTCCATGTTGCGTTTTCTTCCCCTGCTTTTGGTCACGGCCTTATTTATAGAGTGTCTCGCAGCTACACGAAAGAGAATTTCATTAATAACACTTCTTTTTGGTTGTAATCTCTACTGCAGTTTTCTTTATAACTTCACTTACATGTCAATAGTACATTTGTCTGCATCACAGTACATTTTATCCATAAATACACTAAAACATACATCACTGTTAACACAGAGAGTTTGGAATTTGAGAATGGAAACTATGAGTGTACAATGAGTGACAAAACACAGATATTCATATTCACTAACTAGAAAACTGACACTTCATTCACAGTCAAATGAAATTCAGTCAGCACTTGCTTAGTGTGTTACAATAATTACATTAAACTTTAATCAGAGTAGTCAACAAAATAATTCTGATAGGGTTTGTGCTATTTGCCCTTCAGTAGATTCAGACTTCTATTACTCACTGTTATAACTAAATAATAATTCTATCATGCTGCACTGTTTTCCATTAAGTTACTAAATAACAGGGCTTAGAATGTAGGTGGCTAAGAACATTAAAGGGTTTAAAACATTTCCTTGATAATGGAAGGAAGCTAAACGGTGAACAAACTAATGTCCCAGTCGCATGCAAAGGAGCAGGAAATGGGATGTGGCAAGAAATCTCGGCACCTACTTTCCTGGTCCTATACCTAATCTCCAGTGTTGTGGTAAACACAGCATGCATGTACTGGAATACATTGTACAGAGGAAAAAAAGTTTTTGACTATTACATGAAAATATAGCGGAAGGGGAAAGGCTGGTGTAGATCTGGTTTAGTATACTGTTTTAAAACTGGTCCGCCTTAGTCAAACTCTTCCTCCCAATGCTTACACAGTTTATGCTATATATAGACTTATCAACCAACTTTAAAAGGTGACTGACTGCATGTCCCAAGGAGAATATGTGTTAATGGAGGAATGTATAATTTCAATCTACTGATCCAAATCAACTGAGGAATTACATACTACCAGGATGTGGATCTCCTCACTAAGAAAAGAATAAAAAGGTTGTGGAGGATTTCCAAAGTCTCCAAAATACAAGTTGGAAAATGCTTTATTGAGTCAGTCACACATATAAGCTTAGACTTCACCACTACTGCTTGGAGCTGTGGTTAGTAGCAAAAAAGGAACTCCCTACTAGTTAAAAAAGCAGGCACATCAGAGCTAAATAGAGAAAGCTGCAATCATAAACATCACAGAAACAGGGACAGAAAAAACAGAGACAGAGAGCAACTTCCCACAGCACACTATCCCTCATCGCCTTGCCAGAGGAAGTGCTGAGCTATGAATCTTTTTCTGAGAGACAGGACAAGCTATATGGTTTTCTACTGAGGGTCACATGTTAAAGCCTTTTCCCTCGAGTACTCAGGAATGGAATCAGCCACCAGAACAGCACATCTGAAAATCGAACAGCCTCAGGCTTCTGCTCCAAAGAGGTTATATTCATTTGTCATGAAATATATCCTGACATTGACTCTGAGGGCTCTATGACATGAAAGTATAAAAAAACAGGGAAGGACAAGATTCGTCAGTTTTTGCACTTACGCAGAACTGCAATAAAACTCTGGTTATCCAGAAGAACCCACAATCCAAAGCCCATGATCAGAGCGCCAAAAATCTAGAAAGCAAGAAAAAGATTAATTAATACACACGCCACACAGGTTCCATGTTGATATTTCTGTGCCTAGCAGGATTTAGAAACGGAAAGAGTGAAAAAAAAGGTACGAGAGAGAGAAAAACTGACTACAGACAGACTCACAAAAAGAACATTTTCTTAGTGTCTGAAACTTGCCAGCCCCCATGCCATATTAAACCTGGGCCTGAGCTACCCCACTCCCTGCATCCCCTCAAGTACACAAGAATGGAATCAGCTGCCAGAACAGCACAACTGAAAACCGAACAGCTTCTAGGTTTTACACGGTGAAACCTTCACACAAATAGTAGCAAATCTGAATCTTAACCATCCAATAGACCATCTTCTGTTTATTTTCTAGCCCATTATGTATCAATTAACACCACTCTGTAAAAATAAAATCTGTTTGATGTCATTACAGGTTAGGTAGTCTGTGTTTTCATTAGTGGTTTTATAAAACATGTTTCAAAGTAAAGATGTAGTGCTGTAGTACTCTAGTCCAGTCTTAGTTTTGAGAACGGTCTTAAAACCGGTCTTGAAATCCCAGTCCTATCTCAGCATTGACATCATTTTTACTTGACCTTTTCTTGGTCTCGGGGTAAGGTGGACTTTGTACTCGAGAACAGCCAAATGCAATGCCTCCATCTGAGGTAAGTAGAGACTGAACTTTTTTCCATGATTACTGAATGTCAATATCAGTAATACCTTTAAACAGAATGAATCAGTGCTTTCTCTCTATGTTTAAATAAAGTCTGTTTGCAGCTAGTTGAGGATCTAATTGATCCTTTTCATGACAGCTTAACTGGGCATTATTTGCTTGCTGATGTTCACTGGATCCAAAATTCAAACATCCTCTGAGGGCAGATCATAATGTTATTATTGCTTTGTTTTCATTTAATAATTAAAATGGATGTATGTTGTTTGGTTTAGGGGATGATTCTGAATTTTAAAGAAAAAAGAAAGAGAATAACCTTACCATTATTGGCATCCAAATGTTACAATCTAAAGTTGAACTAAGACTCTAACATAATAAAAAATAATTATTTTTTGCTATATACTGTATTATTGAATGTTACATTTTACAAACCTATTATTAAATATAAAGTACAGTTTAAAATTATTTATTAATATGTGTCATTTATAATGAATGATAATGAACATAAAATGTTATGTTCATTATCAGAGTCATGAATGAGTTTCAGTTTTTTCCCCTTTCCCCTTTCTTCTTTTATTTTTATATTCTGAAAAAATCTTAATCTGGTTTTGGTCTTGTCTCTCCTGGGCCTGGTCTTGTCTCAGACTACACTACTACAAAGCCATGGTCTTGATTCGAACATGATGTGTCCAGGTCTCAGTCTTGACTCTTAGTGGTGCTGAGACGTACACTGAGTTTCTTTAAGTAGATTTATGACAGTGTGTTGAGCAGTGAATCAGTTTGGTTTGGTTCTTTTGTCATTACTACCAGCTTTTACTATGCCCATTGCATTAAATGTGAAACATTCCCCAACATGGTGGAGCACATTATGTGAAATGTAGTACTGTATTGTACTTGTACTGGACTGTTCATTTTAAATGTTACCAATAACATTTAAATGTTTCCAATATGTTAATTTAATTCTTAATACATTACATATTTGACTCCTGTGCAAAATGATATATTTTGCAACCTAAAGTATATAAGGTATACTTAATTATTAGCTGTTTTGCTATCATTCCCATGTGCAGTTTTTTTTTAGCAGAGAATGCTGACTGTAGGCACTTAGAATTAACAGATTAATTGTAGAGGTTTAAAGACAGATAGACATTGTTGATTTAGTTTGATCAATACAGAAGGGAATGAAGCTGACAGTCTGTTTGGTCAGGCTGTTCTGAAAGCTATGAAAGCTGTTATTTACATTTTTTAATCCACAGAAACACAGAATTTTCTCCTGTCCAATCCAGTTAGTTAGCTATTAAAGTAGTTAAGGGAGAATGAGGCAAGTCATTATTTTAGTAACTTTAATTAAATTGTTTGTACTGATATCAATTAACAAATCTGAAAAAAGTTAGTCCCTGCAATCTGAAAAAAAAATGTCTTTTGGCACACATTGAGCTGACAAGCAGAGTAAGTTGAGCCAGCTGGAGTAAAATGAGTGAAAAATAAATACATGTTAATTAAACATACAATTAATAGACATTTCTAAACACAATAACCTATTTTAGGCCTAGATATGTGACTGTGAAACAACACTGTCAAAGAACTCCAGAGGTGTGCTTAACGAAAGTTGTGGTTCTTGCCTATAATATTGCATGACAGGTAGTAACATCCCATGAAAGAAATCATTTCCTGTTAAAATGTAGGTTAAGCAAAACCAACTTTACACAATTTCCTCCATTACTTCTACGCAGTTAATCACTTAAGAAAAATTTTCTGCTTCTTTAGATTTGAACTGGAGCTATACCATACTGTTATCTTTAAAATCAGGCTTCTATTGCTGTTTTTAGTCATTTTAACCTTTCTTCACAGATAACAGATATACAGAGTAAGACACCTTCAAATCTGTGATTACTAAACATTTTACCTTTGACAAAAAATGTAAAAAAGACTAAATAATTTTAATTTGCACATGACTGTTAAGCAGTTAATTTTGACAATAAATACATTTTGCTATACATTTATATGGTTTTATTACACACTTCTATGAGAATAAGAATAGCTCCATTAGTTTACATTGAAATCCTTGTAGTTACTGAATAACAAGCCTTTGTATGAAACAAACCTGGAATGTTAAGGGGTGTTAAGGGAATGTTTCATGATGTAAAGCCAGCCTAAGTAATCAGAATTCAATCAGACAAGCTGCATTCAGCGTCTCAGTCTGACTACGGTCTCTGATGTCTGTAGGTTTGGCTTGTGGGGGGCTGCCACTGTGGTAGGAGAGGCAGTAAAGCACAGGCGTGCCGGGTAATTAAAGGCCTCTGCCCTTGCAAGACAGACAGACATCAGAGACACACATGCGCACACACCCTTCAACACTGTTCATTAGCCTTTGGGTGAGGCTGCTTATCATCCTTTTTTACTAACAGGTCTAATTAGCCAAGAGTGACAGCAGGCCAAACCTATGCTTTACTTGTTCCATCAAGTGTCTGGGACATATTTCTTAGACAGATCTGGCTTTTGTCTTTAATTCATTTCTGATTAAAATGTCTTGAATCTCATGCTAGCGTTCAATTTCTCTGCTGAAAACTACAGTAGAAATCTAGATTTCTATTACAATTTCTACAGATATTATAATCTGTACTAGCCTTGCATCCTTTAGCAGACACTAATTAGCTGCAGGATGTAACATGGCTGATGAAACGACTGGGCCTTATGTTAAGGAGGTGAGAGAGTGTGTACACTTACAAAGAAGAGGAGGTTGAACAAGAACAGTAAGTACTTGGTAGCTGTAATGCATCCTTTCCCCATAGCTGCTGCAACTCTGTGAGGAAGAGAGACACCAGTGATCAGTACTTAATAGTTTCTGAAACATGAGTCATTATTTGTTGAAAGCTTGATTTTAATATGTATTTTTCAACGCTTTAGGATGAGGCTAGGCACCAGTTAGCCGGCTAGCCCTATAGCATCGCATAGGTTTTACTTTTCTTACACTTTCACGGCAAAAGCAAGAGAAAATGACTTCAGGAAAAAAAAGTTATTGTTAAAATAAATCTGTGTACGAGCGTAACAGCCTAACGTGTGTGAACAAGAGATGGACTCTGTGTGTCTGTGCACCCTCACCATCCTGAACTGCCTCGCAACAGAAACTTTAGAAAGCATGCAAATACTGCCAAATCTTTAAACCACCTCACTCGTATTAACATGAACACAGGTTAGCAGTGGGGGAGGGAAAACATGCTATAATTGATTAGTATAATTTTTCCTTGCTGCTGGAACACAGTGATGCAACCAAACTTGAGACGGCATTTAAAGGTGAGCAAAATTCACTAGACTTCAATGAAAGATTGAGGAAAATAAGAACTTTGTCTTTTAAATGATGGGACACAATGGATTGTGCTTAAAATGATCAAGCACAAGAACTAACACAGAAAAAAAAGGTCCATTTGGATGATTTCAGCTTGACTTTCAATCAGTTTAATCAAGCAAACATGAGAGCCTTAATTCTATTGAAAAGCAAAAGCATGACAGCCATAGAATAAGTATCAACAAGCAGATACACTATTAAAAAATTAAATCTTTCTGCATTTAAATAACTGCAAAGACCAAAACTGTTGTAATGTAGGCCTGTCACAATCATGACATTTTAGCTGACAGTTATTTGCCATACAAATAACTGTGATTAACAATTTGTGTTTTTTTCAGTGTAACTTATCAGTGTAAATTATCAGCCGCTCTCATCTGTCCATCTAATCCTACTGAGCTAGATGCTATGACCAAGCTCTTAGAGAATAGTTTTCGATCTACTCTAGATAGTGTGGCCCCATTAAAAAGTAAAATAGTAAGGCAGAAAAAAACTCGCCCCCTGGTATAATGACAACACTCGGGCTTTAAAACAGAACGCCAGACAACTTGAGCGTAAATGGCGCCTGACTAAGCTAGAAGTGTTCCAGTCCGCCTGGAAGGAGAGCCTTACAGACTATAGACAAGCACTTGCTACAGCACGCTCAGCTTATCTCTCCTCTCTCATAGAAAACAATAAGAATAATCCTAGATTACTTTTCAGCACAATCTCTAAACTAACAGAGAACAAAACAGTTAGTGAACCCCAGATGCCATCAGCCTATAGCAGCAACGATTTTATGAATTTCTTTAGTGATAAAATTGAAAAAATTAGGCAGAAATTTCAGAATACGCAATTAAACTCTAGAAACCTGCTTCCCCATAATGCCAGCCTCAACCTTGAAAATATTATAATTCCTGCAGAGAGGCTGGAATCGTTTACCTTACTCCAAGAAAATGAACTATTTAAAATAGTCTCTTCCGCGAAATCATCTACCTGTATGCTAGATCCGATTCCTACAGGTTTACTCAAGGAAATTCTGCCAGAAATAACCAAGCCTATTCTGTCAATAATAAACTCTTCTCTTAGCCTTGGGTACATCCCAAAATCTCTTAAACTAGCAGTAATTAGACCGCTGATTAAGAAAGCTAACCTCGATCCATGCGAACTTTCAAATTATAGACCCATCTCGAATCTCTCCTTTATATCTAAGATCTTGGAAAAAGTTGTAGCAAAACAGTTAAGCTCCTTTTTACATAGGAATCAAATACATGAAAAATTCCAATCTGGTTTTAGGCCACATCATAGTACAGAAACAGCACTAGTAAAAATTGTAAATGATCTATTATTATTTTCTGACCAAGATCATGTGTCCTTGTTAGTCCTCCTCGATCTTAGTGCGGCATTTGACACAATAGACCACACTATCTTACTAGACAGACTAGAAAACCTTGTAGGGGTAACAGGAACAGCTCTTTCCTGGTTCCGGTCCTACCTCACTGATCGGTATCAGTTTGTTAATATAAACGGTGAATCATCTGTTCTCACAAAAGTAAAATATGGTGTTCCACAAGGCTCTGTTTTAGGACCTGTATTATTCACTTTATATATGCTACCACTGGGCACCATTATCAGTAGACACGGCATAAACTTCCACTGCTATGCCGATGACACTCAGTTATATTTAGCAAGCGACCCAGATGATAGAATTAACCTTAGCAAGATTGAAGACTGTATACAAGACATAAAGGACTGGATGTCGAGTAACTTTCTCCTTCTAAACTCAGATAAAACAGAGGTTCTGCTTCTTGGTCCAAAAGCAGCTAGAAACAAACTGTCTAATTTAACACTTAAACTTAACAATTTCTCAGTTGCATCAAGCTCATATGTAAAAAACCTTGGTGTCATTATAGACCCTGATCTGTCCTTCGACACACATATAACTAATATTACTAGAACAGCCTTCCTGCATCTTCGCAATATTGCTAAATTGAGAAATGCATTATCTCTACAGGATGCAGAAAAGTTAGTTCATGCATTTATTACTTCAAGGCTAGATTACTGTAATGCCCTGCTGGCTGGATGTCCCAGCAAAAGCATTAACAAGCTTCAGCTAGTCCAGAACACTGCAGCCAGAGTTCTTACAAGAACCAGAAAGTTTGACCATATCAGCCCAGTTTTATCAGCCTTACACTGGTTGCCAGTAAAATTTCGGATTGATTATAAAATTCTCTTGCTGACTTATAAAGCACTAAACGGACTCGCCCCGCTGTACCTGAGTGAACTTCTCTCTCACTATGAACCATCCAGCCTACTTAGATCACAAGGTGCTGGCTTACTATTAGTACCCAGAATTAATAAAGTTACGTCAGGGGGGAGAGCTTTCTCATACAAAGCCCCCCAGCTTTGGAATAGTCTTCCTGTTAATGTTCGGGACTCAGACACAGCCTCAGTGTTTAAGTCTAAGCTAAAAACTTACTTGTATATTCAAGCCTTTGGTAATTAGTTTTCCCTGTTAGTTCTATACCTGCCAGAGTCTCTGCTAACACTGTAATTTGTGATCGGTCACCCATTACAGAACTAACTCTGTGTGTTTTCCTCTCTGTGTGTTTTCCTTTCTTTTCTTCGCCGAGTTGAACAGCTGCCCATCCTGTGCGTCTGATGCTGCTGCCTTTTCTGCCTCGATCGGGTGCCACTGCTCGCCAGCCCTCTGGACCGGGTTACCAACATTGAGCCTCCTGCTTACAATGTAAGGCAGGCTGACAACTCAAATGCTGTGGCAATACTACATTAAAAACTAATTTTTTCTTTTAACACCCTCACCCTCATTTAGTCACTTTCACGCTCATTTTATTCATACAGAAAAGGGTCTGCCCTTCCTCCAAAATCAACTCCAAACAGGAAACGGGGTAGGCCAAAAAAGTCCACAGTGCCAAGCTTACTAGACTTGATTTCTTCTAAGTATACTGCAGGGAGCTATAAACCAAAGAGCCACTAGTCTGCACTTTTCAGTACTGAAAGCTGTATTTTATCTAACAGCAGTATGGTTATGAAAACTGAGAACATGGCCTGGATCTTTTTTCCACTGCAAAAGACGCCTGAGGACTTTATCCAGGCATTATCCAGAGCATTGTGAAACTGAGTCTGAGAAAAACCTATGTGGAAGACAAAATAGCAACATAAGTAAGTTTCACTGTTTCTAATTTCTGCTTTACCCTTAGCTGACTGAAAAGGGGTCACAGACAACATAGAAAAAGGAGAACACACTCAAGCCAGCTGCCCCAGTCTCATGATCACTTTTGATCAAATACGCATGGAGAATATGTTGCTTGCCTGCTGTTCAAAGGAAGATGACTGCCCACTGGCATTTACCTGAAAGCTCTAGTAGTCCATGAGCTCAACAGTGTTACAAGAAGTTCTATTGTACATCAGATCCCTCTACTTCACACGTCTACCTGATGTTACAAGTTACAAATTACCACTGCTGAAAAATGATAATCCATTTCCATAAGAAAGGGCAAAGTAAAAAAAAAGTGCATGACCTGGCAGACCTCCCAAATTGCCACAATCAGATAAACAGTACTTAGAGCTTTTGTCTCTTAGAGACATGAGAAAATCAAGCTCCACTTTTGCTTCAGATCTGAAAAAAAAACATTATTCTACTGTGAGAAGACTACACAATAAAAAAGAAAAACATTTGCGAATCAAACAAAGAAGGTGGTGGTGTTTTCAGAACAACAGACTGACCACACCAGAACCCAGAGCCAGAAAATGAAATGTGTTTGGGATTACTTAAATCATGAAGCAGAAAACGCAACAAACTTTTAAGAGTAAACTTTGAAGATGCAGAAAAATATCCCTTGAAAAACTGAAAGCAAGTCTTCTGGAAAGAAAAGAAGCTGTAATAAAGACAGGTGAGCAAACTAAATTCTGAAAATGTTGACATTTAGTTGTTGAGGCTTCTGTGCACTTTTTTGTTAAAGAGAACCTATTAAGCTAATTTTCAATCTTGATCATTTTATTTCTGGGGTCTGTACATCTCTATTCACCCTGTCTGAAATGTTCTGTTAGAGTTCCTGTGTCTTTAAGCCCCCCTCCCAAAAAGCCCAGTGTGCTCTGATTGGTCAGCTCGTCCTCTCTGTTCTGATTGGTCAACCACCAGAGTTCCACCCCTACGCGTTCCGGCCCTGTCTTGTAGGCTGCAGATCCTTCTCTCCTGATGTAAACACTGCTGTGGTTATTCTTACAATGGTGTCAGTTCTGCCGTATCAGTTTGAGCCAGAGTCTGATCCTGAAAGTCAGAACAAATTCTTCCCGGCCTCCAGCAGCGGCTGTGCGTTGTGTGAGGGCGTGCAATGAGGATTGTATTATGAGACTAAGTCATCTTATGACAAAGGAGAAGGGCTGGAATTCCAATGAAGTGCTTCAGGCAGCTGAGAAAACTGGTTTCTGCGGGAGAGAGTTACTCCCTCTGGTGTGTA